TTGCAGTTAACATGTTCCTGGACCTATTTGAAATTTCCAATCAATGTTTTAAATATCAAATATTGGGAAAATATCGGATGGGCAAAACTTATAAAGGATTGCAAATATCAGGAAAATATCAGGGATATGCGGTAAATATCGGAATGCTATAACGAATGTTTGCATGTATAGTACAATGCACTAAAATGTAATCTCAATATACTTAATGAAATCTAAGCATACAAAATGCACATAGTATATGTTTAGGATAACTAATCAACCTTGTAAAATAGACAAAAGTACAAATCTAACTATATTTTTTTGCCACAAGCCTTATCAAAGGATATATCGAGGGATATATCAGACCATGTCGGGGATATTTAAAACAATGTTTCCAATTGTGTTCGACTTATGATTTCTGTAACCAAAGATTTCTATAACAATTCCGCTCTTCATAGAAATAGTTTGTGAATTGCGATATTTTTTTAGAAGATCGTTTTATAAGTGTGGCACATGAATATTTTTTCTTGAGCTAAGCTTTTTTGGCTCACAGAAACTTTAAGATGTTTCTCTGCAATTGAATATTTTGTCTTGAAATATGCTTTTTGACTTTCAAAAACTTTCAAGAGGTTTCTTTGCAAATTTCTATTAGAACTTTAGTAAACTGACTTCTAATCTCTTTTTTTTTAACTTCGAGGATTGTTATGTAAGAAAGATCATGCAAGTAATTATTATTATTATTATGCTTGAATTCTTCAACATTTTTTATCCGGTTTGATGATAATTACATGTAGCTATCCACAAGCTTTTGGCTGAGAAATTATTGAAACTTTATAAGCTAAATCATATGCCTACAACTGAGATATTTAACTGGTCAAAAGCAACAAAGATAAGTTCTTTTTTCTTTTTCTTTTTTTAAAATTTTTTGCAAGGTGAAGTTACCTATTTAATATATACAACGTCCAACTATGATATGGAATATGTGCATAAACATAAATTTGTTCTTATAGGAAGCCAAAGTCATTCGTAAAGTTTTTGGGACGCCAAAGCAATCAAATTTGTGGATGTTGAAGCAATCCAAATTTTGGGGATGACAAAGTGATCCGAGTTTTCGGGATGCCGAAGCAATTTGAGTTTTGAGGATGCTGAAGCGTTTCGAGTTTTGGGGATGATGAAGCAATCTGAGTTTTGGGGATGCCAAAGCGCTTCAAATTTTGGGGATGCCAAAGTGACCCAAGTTTTGGGGACACCGAAGCGACCCGAGTTTTGGGGACGCCGAAGCAATCCGAGTTTCTGGGAATTTCGGTTACTCTTATGGAGGCTGAAGTGATCCTAGAGTATAGTTTATTGTTAATTCCAATGACTCTCATGGATGCCGAAGCGATACTAGAGTTTAATTTGTTAAAACGTCGTCGTCGCCAAGGGCTCTTATGGATGTCGAAGCAATCCTAGAGTATAAACTCATTGAATCGTCGTCATCACTAATGACTCTTATGGATGCCAAAGCAATCCTAGAGTATAACTTGTCGAAGCATAGTCGCTGATAACTCTTATGGATGTTGAAGCAATCCTAGAGTATAACTCATCGAAACATCATCGTCAATAACTCTTACAGATGAAGAAGCAATCCTAGAGTAAAACTTGTCGAATCATCATCGCCGATAACTCTTACGGATGATAACCCTTACAAATGTCGAAGCAATCCTAGAGTATAACTTGTCGAATCATCGTCGCCTATAACTCTTACGGATGCCAAAGCAATCATAAGAGTATAGCTTGTTCAAAATGAACCGCCAAGGTGGATCGCCGATGAGTGTCCTTTGATGATGGGGATAGCTTGAGGGACGACGGTGTACTCCAATGGCAATATCAGCTTGATGAGAAATGAAATATTAAGGAATATAAAGTTTTATACAGATTGTTAGATATGAAAAAAAAAACAAAGTTAAGAAAAAAGAAATAGATAACTAACCCTTTTCTTCACTGTCTTCGATTGCTCCTTTCTGATCTTTAGTAATGATAATAGAGTTGAGTTCACTAAAAATTTTCTTAATTACTTAGGAAATTTCTTGAGGGACTGGGAGTGGGAGCTCATCCTATTCTCTCTCTCTCCCCTTTTTTTTCTTTGGTTCATTCTGCATGTGTGTGGATAAGACCTCTTCTTGTTGGGTATGGAGTCGGATATATAGAAGAGAAAGGATAACATGAGAATGAGGGATTGATTGAGAGATTGCTGGATAAGTTGAGGTGGTTGGCCATATTGAGAGAATTAAGGGAGGATGGTATCTGCAGAGGGACTAGTTAGCATATTAGGGTTGTTAATTGAGAGAGTAGTGGAAGGATTAGAAAGGAAGTGGGATTAATTGGGTGAATCTTTAGGGTAGTAGGACACTGGGACTGGGTATTAGTGATTTGGAGTTGTGCGAAAAGGGAGAGAAATGAAAAAAAATAGCGTGGGATTTGAATTTGAGACCTAAAGAGTAGAAAGTCAACGTATCCACCATTATGTTAAGGATCCTACATAACTAATATAAAAACAAAAATATGTGCATATATCATATTGAGGCATTGTTTGACTATGTCTTATAACGATAACGATATAAGGATCAAAGCCTTGCATATTCCGATTATATGCCAATCAATCAATACGACAAAACGATAATGATAACGATATAAAGCTCAAAGCCTTGCATATTCTGGATATATGCCGATCAATCAATATCAATTAACACTATGGTTCCTTTGCAGTGTTACCAATCATTAAGCATGAAACTAAAGTGTGTATGCAAGATGCATGAATTTGCCAATTATGAGTATAACAAAATCAAACAATGAACGATCAATAAATCCTTTGCATATAATGAAAGAAAACATTATAAAACATAAAATTCGACATATAAAGTGACATTAAAACGTAGTAATATATGAAAAAATAATAACTTATACATTAATCTCACCTTGACGATACCTCTCCTTTAGACATTAAAATTTTCGAACATCGGATGCAACTTCCAAATGGAGGCTCAATCCCTATTCATAAGCATCGATATATAAATATATATTCTTTTATTCTGATGTTTATCCATAAGATAAGCTCGTGCACATTTTTCTATAAATATATATATTTTTAATTCTTAGGCTTATCCATAAGATAAGATTGTGCACATTTTTTCGTAAATATATATATCTTTAAGTCTTAAGCTTCTCCATAAGATAAATTAGTGCACGTTTTTCTGTAAATATATTTTTAATTCTTAGGCTTATCCATAAGATAAGCTTGTTATTACATTTTGCATAAACGCCCTCTTTGTTCCTATATTTATATGTTTTATTTTTAATGTACAATATTTTCCAAGACAAAATTCTCTTTCCCCAAATTCTAATTACGAGTCAGCTTTCATCCATTCCTTGCAGCAATTCCTCTCTAAACTTCTGCTGGATCTTGAAAAGGTGATTAATAGAAGGGTGAGCTATACTAGCCAAGTGAAATCATTAAAATAAGTCATGTAATTAAAAAAATCTATAGCAATGATAAGTAAGAAAGATCAATTGGAAATCGGGACGCTTTCAATACATGAAATGCAATTCTCGTCAATAAATGAAATGCAAAACACTCTAGTAACCACCTTACCTGTCGATTCCACGATAAAACAATAACGATATAAGGCTCAAAACCTTGCATATTCTGGTTATATGCCGATCAATCAATATGATAGAACGATAACGATATAAGGCTCAAAGCCTTGCATATTCCGATTATATGCCAATCAATCAATACGATAAAACGATAACAATATAAGGCTCAAAGCCTTGCATATTCCAATTATATGTCGAATTGCCGATCAATCAATTCAATAAAACGATAACGATAACGATAACGATAAGGCTCAAAGCCTTATCAATATCAATTAACACTGATGGTTCCTTTTCAGGGTTACCAATCATTAAGCATGATACTGAAGTGCATGCAGGATGCATGAATTTGCCAATTATGATTATAACAAAATCAAACAATAAACTATCAATAAATTCCTTGCATATGATGAAAAGAACATTGTAAAACATAAAATTCGGCATATAAAGCATCATTAAAATGTGGTAATATATGAAAAATATAATAACCTATGCCTTAATCGCACCTCGGTTTAGACACTAAAATTTTCAAACTTTGGATACAATTTTCAAATGAAGGCTCAGTCCCTATTAATACGCATCGATATATTTTTTTAATACATAAGATAAGCTTGTGCATATTTTTCCATAAATATATATTTTTAATTCTTAGGCTTATCCATAAGATAAGCTTGTGCACGTTTTTTCGTAAATATATCTTTTTAATTCTTAGGCATCTCCATAAGATAAGTTTGTGCATATTTTTTCGTAGATATATATTTTTAATTCTTAGGCTTATCCATAAGATAAGCTTGTGCACGTTTTCCATAAATATATATTTTTTAATTCTTAGGCTTATCTATAAGATAAGCTTGTGCACATTTTTCCGTAAATATATATTTTTAATTCTAGAATGTAACACCCCACCTTAATATTATTGTTATACATAAGTATACATTAAAATAAAACAGATAAATATAGGAACAAAGATGGCGTTTATGCAAAATGTAATAACAAGCTTGTCTTATGGATAAGCCTAAGAATTAAGAATATAAATTTATGAAAAAACGTGCACAAGCTTATCTTATGGATAAGCCTAAGAATTAAAAATATAAATTTACGAAAAAACGTGCACAAGCTTATCTTATGGACAAGCCTAAGAATTAAATATATATATTTACGAAAAAACATGCACAAGCTTAAATTATTGTACTAGTCTCACGCGAATTATGAGATAATGCTAATGTGGGGTGTGACAACTTGGTATTAAAGCAAAGGTTAATAAATCTAGTTAAAAGCCAGGATAGGATCCTCAACCTATAGGTTAGGTGCATTTAAGATGTTATATTGTTGTCATTAACCTATGTTGTGTTGCAGGAATGGCTAACTCAGCAAGTACTATTACAAATAGTATTAATCCAAATAGACCTTGTCCATGTGGAAAATTATTCACCAACGAAGAAGTTATAGAGATAGTGACTCAAAGAGATGCTTATATATGGGAGCGCACATACACACGTGAAACTACTGAGTCTATGATGGAACAAACCCTATACCAATACATAGAGGATATTCTGCAGGAACGTAATGATTTCGCTCAAGAAAATCATGATCTTAGGCGCTACACTGCACAATTACAAATTGAAAGGTTACATGTGCTTGAAAAATTAGAAAAGGTAAGGAAAAACACCAATCCCAAAATTGTTGTAATCCCATCAAGGTCCAAAGAACTAGAGGATGATCCAGAGTTGGAGCCAAAAGAAGAAGCAAGAAGAGGCCATTAATTTCTATGATACTTCTTTCACTTTTTTTAACCTTTCTAGTTCAAAAAGATCTCTCTCTCTCTTACATTAGGTAAGAGCCCAAAATGAATTCTTCTAAGCGAAAATTCCATATGCTTTATTAATTGCTAACCAAAGGCATAAACCCTAGAACTTTTTTGTAAATAGCACTGATGAATAAATGATCCTATTCTCTTTCATCATTTGAAACAAGCATGTGCGATTTTTTGGAGGCTGAATGGCATTTACACTTATTTCTTCCATGTATCAACAGGACTAGTACAACTTACAAAAGAAATTTCATTGCAGCTATAACCTATGCGGCTGCATATGAGAAGTACCTTTACATGCAAATGGTTGACCAAATGTCACTAATACCTTTGAGTGTAAACGGTTGAGGAAGTGTTAGTAAGTTCACTTCAGAACAATATGTGCACTGGATGGGGGCCGTTATACAGTGTAAAGGAACATAAGAATTTCAGTGCAATAATTCTATTATTAAAATGCTCACTAGTTACAAACTTACAATTTTATAAGATGTTCCATCTTATCAGATGTTCATACATTTAAAGACCTAACCTAATAGTTAATTATATCAAATCAAGGAACTCTAGTCAGAAGGTAGAACTTCAATTAATGATTTCAAGGAAACAATCATGTATACCCAATAAACTACTCTCAGTTGAAGTTAAAATGCAATGAATCCCTCCTAAATCTGAAGCCACAGACACATCAGAACTATGCAATCATAGAAGACTGAACAAATTGACTAACAGACAAACAACATGAAAACAAAATTTAGCAATATAGATTTTGTGAGGCATTCATTAAATTGAAACAAAAAAGGAAAGCTGTCCTTAGTTTCATGATCACTTAGAAAAGAAGACAACATAGGATAATTCTAAGTTAAACTTGAAGAACTACAGAATATATCATTGCACATTCATCTCGTTTGTTATTCAGACAGTTGTTTAAGCTTTAGACTGCAAACTGCAGATTGTGCCTTAGAAATATGAAAATCTACATTTTGTCATAGTACTATAAATAAGGTTATTCTGAAGCTGCAAAGCCAGCTCAAGGGTCGGTCTGTGAATGATTAAGTGACTTTATCAGATGATACTGGGTTGCACGGATACGGGTGCTGGTGACTGGTGTGGACACGGACACTGGACACAACAAATTTGTAAAAAATAGGCTATGGGGACACACACAATCATACACAATAATAAATTAATAATTTACATTAGATCATATATTGAATTAAAATATTTATAACATTTGTATGTTTCTTTTCTTATTTATAACAATTAAAAATCAAGTTAAATCAAACTAAGAATTAAGGTTTACAACAAAAGTTGTTTAAATAATAATTTTTAAAAAAGTCGTTCCACTCAAACGTCGCAACTTAAATAAAACTGCACGTTAGATAAAAGTAAACAGAAAACTTAAAAATAATCGCTGCTCAAATAAAAAAAACACAGTTTGCATAGAGATTTTTTTTTCTTTAAAGAATTGTAGCTTTGACTCGCGGGTCTGTTCAACACGTGTTGGGCATGGATACAGTACCCAAATGGAAGTGTCCAGGTAACATAGGTATGATATGAAAGGAGTTATAAAAGAACTCTATGCATGACATGGTAAAAGTCGATGAAAAGATAAAACACAGTAACTTTTCAAGATAGAAAAGGGGAAAATATACACCCAGGATTTAGACACGACAGACATGTTAAGCTGAAAACATAAGGAGACAAACACAGCAAAGATATACCAGAAGATGTACGCTCCAACATCAAGAACAATGAAATTCAAAACAATACGCATCCATATTCAAAGCGTTACCTGAGGTGTGTCATGGTCATATTTCCACTCCACGGGATTCAGCTCCATCATAGTGTAGTCCTCCCCATGATGAGGACGGGTCACCTATCCAGATAATCAATGTAGTGCTCAACATGATTGGACTTCAGATATGACGGCTGAAAAATAATAACAAACAGAACCTTGTCCTGTGTACATTACATCAGAACGACAACAAATCCATGCATGACAAGGAAGTGTCAGCATTTGACACATTGCTCGCAAAATGTACACAGCATTTAATGGGTCAAGTTCCAAACACATTCTTATGAGAGACCATAAATGTCAATAAGTGAAAAGAAACTAGCTTTGCATCACGTGCCTACAAAATGGATAATTGAAAACAGGAAGAGAATTCAAACCCTACCTCATGCTGTGCACTTTAAGCCCTTGCAACCAACTTCTATTAGACTTGAGACATCCTAAGCCATGGACTTAAAACAACTTTCTCCTTCAAACTTACCTTTCATAAGAATGGATTGTTGAAAACAGGAAGAGGGTTCAAAGTGTTAGCCTGCTACTAACCCTGAAAACTTACATAGCAATTTATAACAGAGACGAAAAACCTTTCACGGAAATGGATTGTTGTAAACAGGAAGAAGATTTAGAGTGCCAGCTGTGCTACTAAACTTGAAAGGTTACATTCCAATTTAAACTGGAAATGGAAACATGCTCACTACGACCTTAAGAGTAATTTTCAATCACTATTTAGTGATTACTTGAAGAAATGAAAGAAAACTAATAGCATATCATATCTTTCATATAATTGCACATCAAGATGAAAAAGATGATCTTTGGATTTAGGTAAGAAAGATCTTCATCTCTTTATCTAGGACAGAAAAGTGAAAGATGACCTTCCATTTCATATCCTAATTATCCAAAATTGTCAACTTTGTAAGATTGAGTTTGTTGGATAAGTAAAGTAACAATTTCATCACTTAAAAGCTCCAGTATTTGACCATATCTCAGGATCTTATTCTTAATTTCCGGTACTTTATTGCCCATATAAATGCATCTTTCCGTAAAGTCTGAAATGAACATTTCTAAAGGAATGCCTTTTGAATTTATATGATAGCTCAATTCATACCTAATGAGAACCAAATCTGACTTGTCTGCTAACTTTGATCATGCCCTACGTGGAAATTCACACTCAGGTCGAATCCAATTTAGAAAGTTAGTTGCAATTCACTCAGTTGCGTTTGGTTAGGTCATCTCATGTTCATGTTTAAACTTGGTTTTCCCTGCGACCCACCCAAATCCATACCTAGCCTATGTGGCCACCGGATTTGAAATCTAGACCGAATATGTGATCCCCTTTTAAGTGTCAGGCTGGGGTGTTCTCAACAACACTGCTTTTAAAAAGTTTCCGCTTATCCATTTTGATATTATACATTGGTATATTTTTTTCATGTTGGCTACGAATTGTCTAATAATACTGTACATTGGTATATTTTCTTTTAGATGTTTGTGCTTATGCATCTGATGCAGCATCAAGACTGCATCAGCATCTTAATACTGCAACATTGACATTTTAGTTGACCTCAATTTTTCTACATGTTGATTCCTAATCATCAAATAATCTTATTGGTAAAGAATGGCTATTGGTTAATCCATTCCCGAACAGTCAAGATCCATGATATTTAAACGTCTGTTCAAACTTCAAACATCTTCATAACTGCTTTCTTTTGCCTCATACCACATCCAAATTGATAACAAGAATACCTAATTCTAAAGACTATACCAGGTCGAAATCATCCTTGTCAGTTGGATGTAATGCAAAAAATCCCCTTTATTCCTAAGAATTATTACCTTATATTAAAAAACTTATTTAAAATGGCATAATTATAGTCGAAGCCAAATTAAGTAAATGTAAAAAAAAATGTAATAGGGCGATAAATGATCATTAGCTAGTGTAGTTAACACTTGACTCCATTGTATAAATGGTATTCCTTAGATGATGAAATTTGTTCAATGCATGCACAATGTAAGGATATAAACACGCATAGAGATTTTTCCTTTTACTATTATCTTTTCCACAGCTTAAACAAAGGATTAGATAAAGTTGACACCATATAGTATTTACTATTGACCATAAGCAAAAAAAACTAAAAAACTGGAAAAGAATTGATGGGTCTTATGCATCTTGTTAAAAGTTTTAAACTCCATCTGAAAAGTCTTCCATAGATGAAAATGAAATATACATCATGCACACACAATCGCAGGATACTAACTACAGAAAGCATAGAAGGCAATTACCATAGGTCCCGCAACTTCTTCAGATTTCTCTTTGCCATAAAGCATCTCAATCAATGCCAAGGAGAACTCGATAGCCGTCCCTGCTCCCCGGCTTGTAACCACCTTCCCGTCAACTTGAACCCTAGATTCCACTTTTGTCACATCCGCTGGTAACTTATCCATGAAAGCAGGATAACAAGTAGCCTACATAACAAAAGAAAATTCATCTTTCAAACTATCCTTGCATAAAATTCGATTTCTTTAGCATATTGATTCAATTCAATCTCACTTTCAATCCTTTAAGCAGACCCCAAGATCCCAATGCAACTGCCGGGGCTGCACAAATCGCCGCATTAATCCCTCCGCTCTCTGATTGCTTTCTAACCATTTCCTCCAACACTTCACAATCTCTTAGGCTAGCTGAACCAGGCATTCCTCCCTAAAACAAAAACAAACCCCAAAATTTAGCCCAAAAACATCTTGCAAGCATCTAAAAGGAAGGGGGGCAAAATATCAAATCTTGTGATTTTGAGACTAACGGGAAGCGCGATGAGATCAAAGGAGGAGCCTTTGCAATCGGAGATGAGGGAATCGGCGACGAGCTTGATCCCCCAGCAGGCGTCGACGCGGAGATCGGAAGCAGCTGAAGCGACGGTGACGTCAGCTTGATCCCCCAGCAGGCGTCGACGCGGAGATCGGAAGCAGCTGAAGCGACGGTGACGTCAGACGTCAGCGCCGGAGCGGCGGAGAACGTCGATGGTGATGACGGCCTCCATCGGCTCCGTTCCGTCGGCGATGGGGACCAGGACCTGAGATTCAATTTCGAATCAAAAGAGGGGCTTCAATCAATTAATAAAGTGAAGAGTGCTATATATATATATATAGAAAGAGAGAGAGAGAGAGAGAGAGAGATTTGACCTTTTTCGAGGGAGAGGAAGCCATCGTCGACGAGACGGTTGAGGATCGGCGGGCGAGATAGAGGCGAAGAATTTTGAGGGTGGTGGCGTGCCCTGGTCGGGGAGTAGGAAAGTGAAGGCGGCCTCCTGCTGAGGTTTTTGAAGAAAGGGAGGTGGAGAGGGGTGAAGTGACGCGTGGCCATCAGGAATCGTGCGGGATGTTTCTAGAGAGAGAGGGGGGAGCGAGTCATGGGCTTTATCATATAGTGAGGAGTAGCACGGGTGCAGATGGATCGAGTTATTGTGATCAGTTTTGGTCATCTTCGATCAAACCAATTTAGAATTGGAAATGAGCCAGGTTGCGACCAACTTTTTTTGGCTTTTTTAAAGGGAATTCAGACCATCGATATCAATCCCAAAGAGTGGTGAAGGGGTACCTCTAAACACACGCCCTCTAGTATTTTAAGGGATTAATTTTTCTGTGGGTGCTCCACAAGAGAGTTAAAGTCTACTATTCATAGATAGTTTATCAACTCGGTTAGATCCTCTTGGCTGATAATTTTTTTATTGATAGATATACTCCTTTAAATCTTGGATGAATTACACTTGCATACCTTATTATTTACCCAATGTTGCACATAAAACACCTTAGTTGCAAGTGGTTTTACTTAAATATCCTAAAATTTTATAAAAGTTGCATTTTACTTGGTTATGCACGTGTGAAAATTTTCCAATATGGTACTCACATGTAGGCCTGTCCATCCGGGCCGGGCCGGGCCGGGCTCCGGGCCGGCCGGGATTTTTTTATTTTTATTTTTAAATTTTAAAAAAACAATAAAACATAAAAATTATATTTATATAATAGTATATATATATATATTCATACTCTTATATAAATATAATTATATATGTACATATAAGTTTATGTTTATATATATGTATAGATATATAAATATATATTTATACTCTTATATGTATTTATACTATTATATAAATATACTTATATATGTACATATAAGTTTATGTTTATATATGTGTATATATAAGTATACTTATATACTAAGAGAGAGAGAGTATAAATATATATATAAGAGAGAGTATACACTGTACACATATATAAGAGAGAGCATACTTATACATATATATAATTATATAAGAGATATAAACATATATAAGAGAGAATATACTTATATTTATATATACTTATATACTAAGTAGCCCAAAGTATTCATGTCATTCAATATATGTATATGTATATATATATATACACACACACTGACACATATATACATATATTATACATGAACAAATTGTAAATACTTATAGTAATTACATAAACAAATTGTATTATACATAAACACACACACACATATATAAACTTATATACACACACATATAGTATACATATATAAGGGAGAGTATACTTATACATTATACTTATATATACTTATATAAGAGAGAGTATACTTATACATATATATAATTATATAAGAGATATAAACATATATAAGAGAGAATATACTTATATTTATATATACTTATATACTAAGTAGCCCAAAGTATTCATGTCATTCAATATATGTATATGTATATATATACACACACACTGACACACATATACATATATTATACATAAACAAATTGTAAATACTTATAGTAATTACATAAACAAATTGTATTATACATAAAAACACACACACATATAAACTTATATATACACACATATATTATACATATATAAGAGAGAGTATACTTATATATACTTATACATATATTATACATATATAAGAGAGAGTATACTTATACATTATACTTATATATATATATATATATGAACAAATTGAGTAATTTTGAGTAATTTTGATACTGGAACAAATTGAGTAATTTTGATACTGGAATAAATTGAATACTGGAATAAATTGCAGAAGAAATTATGGCTGGAACAAATTGCCTGGAACAAATTACATAAAGTGTGATATACAATAAGGGCCTGGAACAAATTCAGTAATTTTGAGTAATTTTGATACTGGAATAAATTGCCTTTTGTATGAACAAATTGAGTAATTTTGAGTAATTTTGATACTGGAACAAATTGAGTAATTTTGATACTGGAATAAATTGAATACTGGAATAAATTGCAGAAGAAACCCTGAACATTGTTGATAATCAGGGTTTTCTTTGTGAGGTATTAAAACCCCCCTGAACATTGAAACCCCCCTGCATTTGGCCTTGGTTCGTGTCATACGAGTGCTTAGGGTTTTTTTCCGGTGATTTGAGGCTGATTTTCTTACATTGACCACTTGAATGCTAACTGAAAATTTCATTCATTGCTTTGTTTTTTCTAATTCTCAGTTCTTAAATTTTCTTTGGCAGTCATTTTGGTCTTGTCTTCTGGGGAGCAATTTCTCAGTGCTTTCAGGGGGTAAAAAGAACACAAATGGCTGAACCTGGTGATAGTAGCGAAGATGTTCATGGTGATAGTTTCAACAATAACGATTTCATGCCTTTTCCAACAACGATGCCTGTTTCAAGGTACCTCATTAATGTCATGAATTTCGCTGACATGAAATATGTTGTTTGAAATAGTAACGTTGAGTAACATTATATATTGACCCCCAATTATCTTTATTTTCAGAATGCAAAATGGTGAAAAACCGTGTTTAGGAATGAAGTTTAGTAGTCATGAAGAGGCCTACAACTATTATAACTCGTATGCTTTGATGATGGGATTTGGAATCAGAAAAAGCTCAGTGAATTACTCCCAGAAAGATAAACAAGTGTTGAATAGAAAATTTGTTTGTGACAAAGAAGGTTATAGATCTAATAAAGACAAGAGAGATATAGGGAAATATATCAATCATCGGCGAGAGACCAGAGTTGGCTGTAAAGCAATGATGAGAATAAAATTATTGGAGGATAAAACATGGGAAGTTGTAGGTTTTATTGAAGATCATACAAACCACATGCTCAGTAGTCCAGATAAAGCAAAGATGCACAGGTCACAACAACAATTTCATAGAAGTAAAAGGTGTAAAAAAATTATTCAATGTTTGCAAGAAGAAGGTATTACTCCTTCCACTATTTCTCGTGTTATTAACGCGACAAGTGGAAGAGAAGATGAATCAGTGACACCACAACAATGCATTGACTATATGAAAACTCAAAGGCATAACAATATTGGTAATGAATGTATATCTGTTATCCAATATTTTCAAACTTCCAGTCTCTTAATTGTTTTTTTTTTTGCATCTTCGTGCTTGTCAGGTCTCACGTCGGAGCTCCCGCCGAAGCCCCCCTCGAAGTCCGGTCGTCGAACCCCCTCCCCCAACTCTCGACGCTCAAGCTCGTGGCCCCCATCGAAGCTCCGACGCCGAGGATCTGGTTCCGATCCCCCGCCGACCAAGTCTAACAGGTCAGTTCTTCCCCATGAACATCTCACTCTCTTCCAGTCTCTTAATTGTTTTTTTTTTTGCATCTTCGTGCTTGTCAGGTCTCACGTCGGAGCTCCCGCCGAAGCCCCCCTCGAAGTCCGGTCGTCGAACCCCCTCCCCCAACTCTCGACGCTCAAGCTCGTGGCCCCCATCGAAGCTCCGACGCCGAGGATCTGGTTCCGATCCCCCGCCGACCAAGTCTAACAGGTCAGTTCTTCCCCATGAACATCTCACTCTCTTCCAGTCTCTTAATTGTTTTTTTTTTTGCATCTTCGTGCTTGTCAGGTCTCACGTCGGAGCTCCCGCCGAAGCCCCCCTCGAAGTCCGGTCGTCGAACCCCCTCCCCCAACTCTCGACGCTCAAGCTCGTGGCCCCCATCGAAGCTCCGACGCCGAGGATCTGGTTCCGATCCCCCGCCGACCAAGTCTAACAGGTCAGTTCTTCCCCATGAACATCTCACTCTCTTCCAGTCTCTTAATTGTTTTTTTTTTTGCATCTTCGTGCTTGTCAGGTCTCACGTCGGAGCTCCCGCCGAAGCCCCCCTCGAAGTCCGGTCGTCGAACCCCCTCCCCCAACTCTCGACGCTCAAGCTCGTGGCCCCCATCGAAGCTCCGACGCCGAGGATCTGGTTCCGATCCCCCGCCGACCAAGTCTAACAGGTCAGTTCTTCCCCATGAACATCTCACTCTCTTCCAGTCTCTTAATTGTTTTTTTTTTTGCATCTTCGTGCTTGTCAGGTCTCACGTCGGAGCTCCCGCCGAAGCCCCCCTCGAAGTCCGGTCGTCGAACCCCCTCCCCCAACTCTCGACGCTCAAGCTCGTGGCCCCCATCGAAGCTCCGACGCCGAGGATCTGGTTCCGATCCCCCGCCGACCAAGTCTAACAGGTCAGTTCTTCCCCATGAACATCTCACTCTCTTCCAGTCTCTTAATTGTTTTTTTTTTTGCATCTTCGTGCTTGTCAGGTCTCACGTCGGAGCTCCCGCCGAAGCCCCCCTCGAAGTCCGGTCGTCGAACCCCCTCCCCCAACTCTCGACGCTCAAGCTCGTGGCCCCCATCGAAGCTCCGACGCCGAGGATCTGGTTCCGATCCCCCGCCGACCAAGTCTAACAGGTCAGTTCTTCCCCATGAACATCTCACTCTCTTCCAGTCTCTTAATTGTTTTTTTTTTTGCATCTTCGTGCTTGTCAGGTCTCACGTCGGAGCTCCCGCCGAAGCCCCCCTCGAAGTCCGGTCGTCGAACCCCCTCCCCCAACTCTCGACGCTCAAGCTCGTGGCCCCCATCGAAGCTCCGACGCCGAGGATCTGGTTCCGATCCCCCGCCGACCAAGTCTAACAGGTCAGTTCTTCCCCATGAACATCTCACTCTCTTCCAGTCTCTTAATTGTTTTTTTTTTTGCATCTTCGTGCTTGTCAGGTCTCACGTCGGAGCTCCCGCCGAAGCCCCCCTCGAAGTCCGGTCGTCGAACCCCCTCCCCCAACTCTCGACGCTCAAGCTCGTGGCCCCCATCGAAGCTCCGACGCCGAGGATCTGGTTCCGATCCCCCGCCGACCAAGTCTAACAGGTCAGTTCTTCCCCATGAACATCTCACTCTCTTCCAGTCTCTTAATTGTTTTTTTTTTTGCATCTTCGTGCTTGTCAGGTCTCACGTCGGAGCTCCCGCCGAAGCCCCCCTCGAAGTCCGGTCGTCGAACCCCCTCCCCCAACTCTCGACGCTCAAGCTCGTGGCCCCCATCGAAGCTCCGACGCCGAGGATCTGGTTCCGATCCCCCGCCGACCAAGTCTAACAGGTCAGTTCTTCCCCATGAACATCTCACTCTCTTCCAGTCTCTTAATTGTTTTTTTTTTTGCATCTTCGTGCTTGTCAGGTCTCACGTCGGAGCTCCCGCCGAAGCCCCCCTCGAAGTCCGGTCGTCGAACCCCCTCCCCCAACTCTCGACGCTCAAGCTCGTGGCCCCCATCGAAGCTCCGACGCCGAGGATCTGGTTCCGATCCCCCGCCGACCAAGTCTAACAGGTCAGTTCTTCCCCATGAACATCTCACTCTCTTCCAGTCTCTTAATTGTTTTTTTTTTTGCATCTTCGTGCTTGTCAGGTCTCACGTCGGAGCTCCCGCCGAAGCCCCCCTCGAAGTCCGGTCGTCGAACCCCCTCCCCCAACTCTCGACGCTCAAGCTCGTGGCCCCCATCGAAGCTCCGACGCCGAGGATCTGGTTCCGATCCCCCGCCGACCAAGTCTAACAGGTCAGTTCTTCCCCATGAACATCTCACTCTCTTCCAGTCTCTTAATTGTTTTTTTTTTTGCATCTTCGTGCTTGTCAGGTCTCACGTCGGAGCTCCCGCCGAAGCCCCCCTCGAAGTCCGGTCGTCGAACCCCCTCCCCCAACTCTCGACGCTCAAGCTCGTGGCCCCCATCGAAGCTCCGACGCCGAGGATCTGGTTCCGATCCCCCGCCGACCAAGTCTAACAGGTCAGTTCTTCCCCATGAACATCTCACTCTCTTCCAGTCTCTTAATTGTTTTTTTTTTTGCATCTTCGTGCTTGTCAGGTCTCACGTCGGAGCTCCCGCCGAAGCCCCCCTCGAAGTCCGGTCGTCGAACCCCCTCCCCCAACTCTCGACGCTCAAGCTCGTGGCCCCCATCGAAGCTCCGACGCCGAGGATCTGGTTCCGATCCCCCGCCGACCAAGTCTAACAGGTCAGTTCTTCCCCATGAACATCTCACTCTCTTCCAGTCTCTTAATTGTTTTTTTTTTTGCATCTTCGTGCTTGTCAGGTCTCACGTCGGAGCTCCCGCCGAAGCCCCCCTCGAAGTCCGGTCGTCGAACCCCCTCCCCCAACTCTCGACGCTCAAGCTCGTGGCCCCCATCGAAGCTCCGACGCCGAGGATCTGGTTCCGATCCCCCGCCGACCAAGTCTAACAGGTCAGTTCTTCCCCATGAACATCTCACTCTCTTCCAGTCTCTTAATTGTTTTTTTTTTTGCATCTTCGTGCTTGTCAGGTCTCACGTCGGAGCTCCCGCCGAAGCCCCCCTCGAAGTCCGGTCGTCGAACCCCCTCCCCCAACTCTCGACGCTCAAGCTCGTGGCCCCCATCGAAGCTCCGACGCCGAGGATCTGGTTCCGATCCCCCGCCGACCAAGTCTAACAGGTCAGTTCTTCCCCATGAACATCTCACTCTCTTCCAGTCTCTTAATTGTTTTTTTTTTTGCATCTTCGTGCTTGTCAGGTCTCACGTCGGAGCTCCCGCCGAAGCCCCCCTCGAAGTCCGGTCGTCGAACCCCCTCCCCCAACTCTCGACGCTCAAGCTCGTGGCCCCCATCGAAGCTCCGACGCCGAGGATCTGGTTCCGATCCCCCGCCGACCAAGTCTAACAGGTCAGTTCTTCCCCATGAACATCTCACTCTCTTCCAGTCTCTTAATTGTTTTTTTTTTTGCATCTTCGTGCTTGTCAGGTCTCACGTCGGAGCTCCCGCCGAAGCCCCCCTCGAAGTCCGGTCGTCGAACCCCCTCCCCCAACTCTCGACGCTCAAGCTCGTGGCCCCCATCGAAGCTCCGACGCCGAGGATCTGGTTCCGATCCCCCGCCGACCAAGTCTAACAGGTCAGTTCTTCCCCATGAACATCTCACTCTCTTCCAGTCTCTTAATTGTTTTTTTTTTTGCATCTTCGTGCTTGTCAGGTCTCACGTCGGAGCTCCCGCCGAAGCCCCCCTCGAAGTCCGGTCGTCGAACCCCCTCCCCCAACTCTCGACGCTCAAGCTCGTGGCCCCCATCGAAGCTCCGACGCCGAGGATCTGGTTCCGATCCCCCGCCGACCAAGTCTAACAGGTCAGTTCTTCCCCATGAACATCTCACTCTCTTCCAGTCTCTTAATTGTTTTTTTTTTTGCATCTTCGTGCTTGTCAGGTCTCACGTCGGAGCTCCCGCCGAAGCCCCCCTCGAAGTCCGGTCGTCGAACCCCCTCCCCCAACTCTCGACGCTCAAGCTCGTGGCCCCCATCGAAGCTCCGACGCCGAGGATCTGGTTCCGATCCCCCGCCGACCAAGTCTAACAGGTCAGTTCTTCCCCATGAACATCTCACTCTCTTCCAGTCTCTTAATTGTTTTTTTTTTTGCATCTTCGTGCTTGTCAGGTCTCACGTCGGAGCTCCCGCCGAAGCCCCCCTCGAAGTCCGGTCGTCGAACCCCCTCCCCCAACTCTCGACGCTCAAGCTCGTGGCCCCCATCGAAGCTCCGACGCCGAGGATCTGGTTCCGATCCCCCGCCGACCAAGTCTAACAGGTCAGTTCTTCCCCATGAACATCTCACTCTCTTCCAGTCTCTTAATTGTTTTTTTTTTTGCATCTTCGTGCTTGTCAGGTCTCACGTCGGAGCTCCCGCCGAAGCCCCCCTCGAAGTCCGGTCGTCGAACCCCCTCCCCCAACTCTCGACGCTCAAGCTCGTGGCCCCCATCGAAGCTCCGACGCCGAGGATCTGGTTCCGATCCCCCGCCGACCAAGTCTAACAGGTCAGTTCTTCCCCATGAACATCTCACTCTCTTCCAGTCTCTTAATTGTTTTTTTTTTTGCATCTTCGTGCTTGTCAGGTCTCACGTCGGAGCTCCCGCCGAAGCCCCCCTCGAAGTCCGGTCGTCGAACCCCCTCCCCCAACTCTCGACGCTCAAGCTCGTGGCCCCCATCGAAGCTCCGACGCCGAGGATCTGGTTCCGATCCCCCGCCGACCAAGTCTAACAGGTCAGTTCTTCCCCATGAACATCTCACTCTCTTCCAGTCTCTTAATTGTTTTTTTTTTTGCATCTTCGTGCTTGTCAGGTCTCACGTCGGAGCTCCCGCCGAAGCCCCCCTCGAAGTCCGGTCGTCGAACCCCCTCCCCCAACTCTCGACGCTCAAGCTCGTGGCCCCCATCGAAGCTCCGACGCCGAGGATCTGGTTCCGATCCCCCGCCGACCAAGTCTAACAGGTCAGTTCTTCCCCATGAACATCTCACTCTCTTCCAGTCTCTTAATTGTTTTTTTTTTTGCATCTTCGTGCTTGTCAGGTCTCACGTCGGAGCTCCCGCCGAAGCCCCCCTCGAAGTCCGGTCGTCGAACCCCCTCCCCCAACTCTCGACGCTCAAGCTCGTGGCCCCCATCGAAGCTCCGACGCCGAGGATCTGGTTCCGATCCCCCGCCGACCAAGTCTAACAGGTCAGTTCTTCCCCATGAACATCTCACTCTCTTCCAGTCTCTTAATTGTTTTTTTTTTTGCATCTTCGTGCTTGTCAGGTCTCACGTCGGAGCTCCCGCCGAAGCCCCCCTCGAAGTCCGGTCGTCGAACCCCCTCCCCCAACTCTCGACGCTCAAGCTCGTGGCCCCCATCGAAGCTCCGACGCCGAGGATCTGGTTCCGATCCCCCGCCGACCAAGTCTAACAGGTCAGTTCTTCCCCATGAACATCTCACTCTCTTCCAGTCTCTTAATTGTTTTTTTTTTTGCATCTTCGTGCTTGTCAGGTCTCACGTCGGAGCTCCCGCCGAAGCCCCCCTCGAAGTCCGGTCGTCGAACCCCCTCCCCCAACTCTCGACGCTCAAGCTCGTGGCCCCCATCGAAGCTCCGACGCCGAGGATCTGGTTCCGATCCCCCGCCGACCAAGTCTAACAGGTCAGTTCTTCCCCATGAACATCTCACTCTCTTCCAGTCTCTTAATTGTTTTTTTTTTTGCATCTTCGTGCTTGTCAGGTCTCACGTCGGAGCTCCCGCCGAAGCCCCCCTCGAAGTCCGGTCGTCGAACCCCCTCCCCCAACTCTCGACGCTCAAGCTCGTGGCCCCCATCGAAGCTCCGACGCCGAGGATCTGGTTCCGATCCCCCGCCGACCAAGTCTAACAGGTCAGTTCTTCCCCATGAACATCTCACTCTCTTCCAGTCTCTTAATTGTTTTTTTTTTTGCATCTTCGTGCTTGTCAGGTCTCACGTCGGAGCTCCCGCCGAAGCCCCCCTCGAAGTCCGGTCGTCGAACCCCCTCCCCCAACTCTCGACGCTCAAGCTCGTGGCCCCCATCGAAGCTCCGACGCCGAGGATCTGGTTCCGATCCCCCGCCGACCAAGTCTAACAGGTCAGTTCTTCCCCATGAACATCTCACTCTCTTCCAGTCTCTTAATTGTTTTTTTTTTTGCATCTTCGTGCTTGTCAGGTCTCACGTCGGAGCTCCCGCCGAAGCCCCCCTCGAAGTCCGGTCGTCGAACCCCCTCCCCCAACTCTCGACGCTCAAGCTCGTGGCCCCCATCGAAGCTCCGACGCCGAGGATCTGGTTCCGATCCCCCGCCGACCAAGTCTAACAGGTCAGTTCTTCCCCATGAACATCTCACTCTCTTCCAGTCTCTTAATTGTTTTTTTTTTTGCATCTTCGTGCTTGTCAGGTCTCACGTCGGAGCTCCCGCCGAAGCCCCCCTCGAAGTCCGGTCGTCGAACCCCCTCCCCCAACTCTCGACGCTCAAGCTCGTGGCCCCCATCGAAGCTCCGACGCCGAGGATCTGGTTCCGATCCCCCGCCGACCAAGTCTAACAGGTCAGTTCTTCCCCATGAACATCTCACTCTCTTCCAGTCTCTTAATTGTTTTTTTTTTTGCATCTTCGTGCTTGTCAGGTCTCACGTCGGAGCTCCCGCCGAAGCCCCCCTCGAAGTCCGGTCGTCGAACCCCCTCCCCCAACTCTCGACGCTCAAGCTCGTGGCCCCCATCGAAGCTCCGACGCCGAGGATCTGGTTCCGATCCCCCGCCGACCAAGTCTAACAGGTCAGTTCTTCCCCATGAACATCTCACTCTCTTCCAGTCTCTTAATTGTTTTTTTTTTTGCATCTTCGTGCTTGTCAGGTCTCACGTCGGAGCTCCCGCCGAAGCCCCCCTCGAAGTCCGGTCGTCGAACCCCCTCCCCCAACTCTCGACGCTCAAGCTCGTGGCCCCCATCGAAGCTCCGACGCCGAGGATCTGGTTCCGATCCCCCGCCGACCAAGTCTAACAGGTCAGTTCTTCCCCATGAACATCTCACTCTCTTCCAGTCTCTTAATTGTTTTTTTTTTTGCATCTTCGTGCTTGTCAGGTCTCACGTCGGAGCTCCCGCCGAAGCCCCCCTCGAAGTCCGGTCGTCGAACCCCCTCCCCCAACTCTCGACGCTCAAGCTCGTGGCCCCCATCGAAGCTCCGACGCCGAGGATCTGGTTCCGATCCCCCGCCGACCAAGTCTAACAGGTCAGTTCTTCCCCATGAACATCTCACTCTCTTCCAGTCTCTTAATTGTTTTTTTTTTTGCATCTTCGTGCTTGTCAGGTCTCACGTCGGAGCTCCCGCCGAAGCCCCCCTCGAAGTCCGGTCGTCGAACCCCCTCCCCCAACTCTCGACGCTCAAGCTCGTGGCCCCCATCGAAGCTCCGACGCCGAGGATCTGGTTCCGATCCCCCGCCGACCAAGTCTAACAGGTCAGTTCTTCCCCATGAACATCTCACTCTCTTCCAGTCTCTTAATTGTTTTTTTTTTTGCATCTTCGTGCTTGTCAGGTCTCACGTCGGAGCTCCCGCCGAAGCCCCCCTCGAAGTCCGGTCGTCGAACCCCCTCCCCCAACTCTCGACGCTCAAGCTCGTGGCCCCCATCGAAGCTCCGACGCCGAGGATCTGGTTCCGATCCCCCGCCGACCAAGTCTAACAGGTCAGTTCTTCCCCATGAACATCTCACTCTCTTCCAGTCTCTTAATTGTTTTTTTTTTTGCATCTTCGTGCTTGTCAGGTCTCACGTCGGAGCTCCCGCCGAAGCCCCCCTCGAAGTCCGGTCGTCGAACCCCCTCCCCCAACTCTCGACGCTCAAGCTCGTGGCCCCCATCGAAGCTCCGACGCCGAGGATCTGGTTCCGATCCCCCGCCGACCAAGTCTAACAGGTCAGTTCTTCCCCATGAACATCTCACTCTCTTCCAGTCTCTTAATTGTTTTTTTTTTTGCATCTTCGTGCTTGTCAGGTCTCACGTCGGAGCTCCCGCCGAAGCCCCCCTCGAAGTCCGGTCGTCGAACCCCCTCCCCCAACTCTCGACGCTCAAGCTCGTGGCCCCCATCGAAGCTCCGACGCCGAGGATCTGGTTCCGATCCCCCGCCGACCAAGTCTAACAGGTCAGTTCTTCCCCATGAACATCTCACTCTCTTCCAGTCTCTTAATTGTTTTTTTTTTTGCATCTTCGTGCTTGTCAGGTCTCACGTCGGAGCTCCCGCCGAAGCCCCCCTCGAAGTCCGGTCGTCGAACCCCCTCCCCCAACTCTCGACGCTCAAGCTCGTGGCCCCCATCGAAGCTCCGACGCCGAGGATCTGGTTCCGATCCCCCGCCGACCAAGTCTAACAGGTCAGTTCTTCCCCATGAACATCTCACTCTCTTCCAGTCTCTTAATTGTTTTTTTTTTTGCATCTTCGTGCTTGTCAGGTCTCACGTCGGAGCTCCCGCCGAAGCCCCCCTCGAAGTCCGGTCGTCGAACCCCCTCCCCCAACTCTCGACGCTCAAGCTCGTGGCCCCCATCGAAGCTCCGACGCCGAGGATCTGGTTCCGATCCCCCGCCGACCAAGTCTAACAGGTCAGTTCTTCCCCATGAACATCTCACTCTCTTCCAGTCTCTTAATTGTTTTTTTTTTTGCATCTTCGTGCTTGTCAGGTCTCACGTCGGAGCTCCCGCCGAAGCCCCCCTCGAAGTCCGGTCGTCGAACCCCCTCCCCCAACTCTCGACGCTCAAGCTCGTGGCCCCCATCGAAGCTCCGACGCCGAGGATCTGGTTCCGATCCCCCGCCGACCAAGTCTAACAGGTCAGTTCTTCCCCATGAACATCTCACTCTCTTCCAGTCTCTTAATTGTTTTTTTTTTTGCATCTTCGTGCTTGTCAGGTCTCACGTCGGAGCTCCCGCCGAAGCCCCCCTCGAAGTCCGGTCGTCGAACCCCCTCCCCCAACTCTCGACGCTCAAGCTCGTGGCCCCCATCGAAGCTCCGACGCCGAGGATCTGGTTCCGATCCCCCGCCGACCAAGTCTAACAGGTCAGTTCTTCCCCATGAACATCTCACTCTCTTCCAGTCTCTTAATTGTTTTTTTTTTTGCATCTTCGTGCTTGTCAGGTCTCACGTCGGAGCTCCCGCCGAAGCCCCCCTCGAAGTCCGGTCGTCGAACCCCCTCCCCCAACTCTCGACGCTCAAGCTCGTGGCCCCCATCGAAGCTCCGACGCCGAGGATCTGGTTCCGATCCCCCGCCGACCAAGTCTAACAGGTCAGTTCTTCCCCATGAACATCTCACTCTCTTCCAGTCTCTTAATTGTTTTTTTTTTTGCATCTTCGTGCTTGTCAGGTCTCACGTCGGAGCTCCCGCCGAAGCCCCCCTCGAAGTCCGGTCGTCGAACCCCCTCCCCCAACTCTCGACGCTCAAGCTCGTGGCCCCCATCGAAGCTCCGACGCCGAGGATCTGGTTCCGATCCCCCGCCGACCAAGTCTAACAGGTCAGTTCTTCCCCATGAACATCTCACTCTCTTCCAGTCTCTTAATTGTTTTTTTTTTTGCATCTTCGTGCTTGTCAGGTCTCACGTCGGAGCTCCCGCCGAAGCCCCCCTCGAAGTCCGGTCGTCGAACCCCCTCCCCCAACTCTCGACGCTCAAGCTCGTGGCCCCCATCGAAGCTCCGACGCCGAGGATCTGGTTCCGATCCCCCGCCGACCAAGTCTAACAGGTCAGTTCTTCCCCATGAACATCTCACTCTCTTCCAGTCTCTTAATTGTTTTTTTTTTTGCATCTTCGTGCTTGTCAGGTCTCACGTCGGAGCTCCCGCCGAAGCCCCCCTCGAAGTCCGGTCGTCGAACCCCCTCCCCCAACTCTCGACGCTCAAGCTCGTGGCCCCCATCGAAGCTCCGACGCCGAGGATCTGGTTCCGATCCCCCGCCGACCAAGTCTAACAGGTCAGTTCTTCCCCATGAACATCTCACTCTCTTCCAGTCTCTTAATTGTTTTTTTTTTTGCATCTTCGTGCTTGTCAGGTCTCACGTCGGAGCTCCCGCCGAAGCCCCCCTCGAAGTCCGGTCGTCGAACCCCCTCCCCCAACTCTCGACGCTCAAGCTCGTGGCCCCCATCGAAGCTCCGACGCCGAGGATCTGGTTCCGATCCCCCGCCGACCAAGTCTAACAGGTCAGTTCTTCCCCATGAACATCTCACTCTCTTCCAGTCTCTTAATTGTTTTTTTTTTTGCATCTTCGTGCTTGTCAGGTCTCACGTCGGAGCTCCCGCCGAAGCCCCCCTCGAAGTCCGGTCGTCGAACCCCCTCCCCCAACTCTCGACGCTCAAGCTCGTGGCCCCCATCGAAGCTCCGACGCCGAGGATCTGGTTCCGATCCCCCGCCGACCAAGTCTAACAGGTCAGTTCTTCCCCATGAACATCTCACTCTCTTCCAGTCTCTTAATTGTTTTTTTTTTTGCATCTTCGTGCTTGTCAGGTCTCACGTCGGAGCTCCCGCCGAAGCCCCCCTCGAAGTCCGGTCGTCGAACCCCCTCCCCCAACTCTCGACGCTCAAGCTCGTGGCCCCCATCGAAGCTCCGACGCCGAGGATCTGGTTCCGATCCCCCGCCGACCAAGTCTAACAGGTCAGTTCTTCCCCATGAACATCTCACTCTCTTCCAGTCTCTTAATTGTTTTTTTTTTTGCATCTTCGTGCTTGTCAGGTCTCACGTCGGAGCTCCCGCCGAAGCCCCCCTCGAAGTCCGGTCGTCGAACCCCCTCCCCCAACTCTCGACGCTCAAGCTCGTGGCCCCCATCGAAGCTCCGACGCCGAGGATCTGGTTCCGATCCCCCGCCGACCAAGTCTAACAGGTCAGTTCTTCCCCATGAACATCTCACTCTCTTCCAGTCTCTTAATTGTTTTTTTTTTTGCATCTTCGTGCTTGTCAGGTCTCACGTCGGAGCTCCCGCCGAAGCCCCCCTCGAAGTCCGGTCGTCGAACCCCCTCCCCCAACTCTCGACGCTCAAGCTCGTGGCCCCCATCGAAGCTCCGACGCCGAGGATCTGGTTCCGATCCCCCGCCGACCAAGTCTAACAGGTCAGTTCTTCCCCATGAACATCTCACTCTCTTCCAGTCTCTTAATTGTTTTTTTTTTTGCATCTTCGTGCTTGTCAGGTCTCACGTCGGAGCTCCCGCCGAAGCCCCCCTCGAAGTCCGGTCGTCGAACCCCCTCCCCCAACTCTCGACGCTCAAGCTCGTGGCCCCCATCGAAGCTCCGACGCCGAGGATCTGGTTCCGATCCCCCGCCGACCAAGTCTAACAGGTCAGTTCTTCCCCATGAACATCTCACTCTCTTCCAGTCTCTTAATTGTTTTTTTTTTTGCATCTTCGTGCTTGTCAGGTCTCACGTCGGAGCTCCCGCCGAAGCCCCCCTCGAAGTCCGGTCGTCGAACCCCCTCCCCCAACTCTCGACGCTCAAGCTCGTGGCCCCCATCGAAGCTCCGACGCCGAGGATCTGGTTCCGATCCCCCGCCGACCAAGTCTAACAGGTCAGTTCTTCCCCATGAACATCTCACTCTCTTCCAGTCTCTTAATTGTTTTTTTTTTTGCATCTTCGTGCTTGTCAGGTCTCACGTCGGAGCTCCCGCCGAAGCCCCCCTCGAAGTCCGGTCGTCGAACCCCCTCCCCCAACTCTCGACGCTCAAGCTCGTGGCCCCCATCGAAGCTCCGACGCCGAGGATCTGGTTCCGATCCCCCGCCGACCAAGTCTAACAGGTCAGTTCTTCCCCATGAACATCTCACTCTCTTCCAGTCTCTTAATTGTTTTTTTTTTTGCATCTTCGTGCTTGTCAGGTCTCACGTCGGAGCTCCCGCCGAAGCCCCCCTCGAAGTCCGGTCGTCGAACCCCCTCCCCCAACTCTCGACGCTCAAGCTCGTGGCCCCCATCGAAGCTCCGACGCCGAGGATCTGGTTCCGATCCCCCGCCGACCAAGTCTAACAGGTCAGTTCTTCCCCATGAACATCTCACTCTCTTCCAGTCTCTTAATTGTTTTTTTTTTTGCATCTTCGTGCTTGTCAGGTCTCACGTCGGAGCTCCCGCCGAAGCCCCCCTCGAAGTCCGGTCGTCGAACCCCCTCCCCCAACTCTCGACGCTCAAGCTCGTGGCCCCCATCGAAGCTCCGACGCCGAGGATCTGGTTCCGATCCCCCGCCGACCAAGTCTAACAGGTCAGTTCTTCCCCATGAACATCTCACTCTCTTCCAGTCTCTTAATTGTTTTTTTTTTTGCATCTTCGTGCTTGTCAGGTCTCACGTCGGAGCTCCCGCCGAAGCCCCCCTCGAAGTCCGGTCGTCGAACCCCCTCCCCCAACTCTCGACGCTCAAGCTCGTGGCCCCCATCGAAGCTCCGACGCCGAGGATCTGGTTCCGATCCCCCGCCGACCAAGTCTAACAGGTCAGTTCTTCCCCATGAACATCTCACTCTCTTCCAGTCTCTTAATTGTTTTTTTTTTTGCATCTTCGTGCTTGTCAGGTCTCACGTCGGAGCTCCCGCCGAAGCCCCCCTCGAAGTCCGGTCGTCGAACCCCCTCCCCCAACTCTCGACGCTCAAGCTCGTGGCCCCCATCGAAGCTCCGACGCCGAGGATCTGGTTCCGATCCCCCGCCGACCAAGTCTAACAGGTCAGTTCTTCCCCAAACCTACCTCACTCTCTGCCAAAATTTTGTAAGAAATTGAATACGAATAAATTGTGCAGAAGAAATTATGGCTGGAACAAATTGCCTGGAACAAATTACATAAAGTGTGATATACAATAAGGGCCTGGAACAAATTCAGTAATTTTGAGTAATTTTGATACTGGAATAAATTGCCTTTTGTATGAACAAATTGAGTAATTTTGAGTAATTTTGATACTGGAACAAATTGAGTAATTTTGATACTGGAATAAATTGAATACTGGAATAAATTGCAGAAGAAACCCTGAACATTGTTGATAATCAGGGTTTTCTTTGTGAGGTATTGAAACCCCCCTGAACATTGAAACCCGCCTGCATTTGGCCTTGGTTCTTGTCATACGAGTGCAACGGGTTTTTTTCCGGTGATTTGAGGCTGATTTTCTTACATTGACCACTTGAATGCTAACTGAAAATTTCA